ACTGATCTGTGACAAGCGACTGATGCACAAACTTACTACCAAAGATGACAACGGATCCAGAAACAAAAGGCTGAAACCGGATGTGGACATAATGCATGCACTTTGAAAGTGCATTTTTTTTTCTTACGCTATAATGATGGAAAACCATCTGATCGACATATGTTTAAAAAAAAACAACTAATGTGATTCTTTCAGGATACCATTTGTTTTTTACCAGAGGAAAAAGAGGTGGACAGGACTATTAGACGGTGTTGCTGGCTTCAAGAGACTCGAGCTCCCCATGAAGCAGTTCATCTTTTTAAAATCCTGCTTACTATGTGATATCAGTAGTCATTTACTCTGTGTTTAAGTTGTCATTGTTCTTATTTATTGGTTCAGAAGAACATGGACGTCTGAGTCTCCTGCCTATCTTGAAAACCTCAAGTATTGGAACGGAAGGATATTGAAGAAATCAGCAGAAGGCTTATGGCCGGTCACTGTAACAGATCCAACTCACAAACAACGTGGACTTATACATAAAACACAAACTCCTGTTACAGAAATTAGACAGCCATGTGAGCAGAGGAACCTCTGGATTTGTAACTGCTTTGTTTTAATTTTTTTCGTGTTGTTAGCTCACGCACTTTATTGTGGATTGAGAGGAGCCGTGTATCTGTACAAGTTCTGAAGGAAATGTGAAGGCGGGGGAACGGTTTCCACTCCTGCTCCCACCCTCAAAACGTACCTGTTCTGTGTGCACGATCAACAAGTCTACAGACATAAGGCAGAGAGCAACCAGGGATACAGTGCTGTGATCCAAGACAATATTGACCCATATTAATGATTAAAAGTCAGGATGTCTCTGCTGCTTCAGTTTTGACCATTATTAAATCTGTCCAAAGTCCAACTTTATGGAAGTGTAATGCTAAATTGGTTGAATATCCCTTTAATTCCAGATACAGTTGTTGTGTCTGACCTATGAAAAAAATGGGCTACATTATGAATGCAGCCATTTTAGTTCTTCCCTGTTATCAACTTGGTATTTATTTTTCAAATAGCAGAAACAGGCTTTACGTCGTTTCCTTTGTTACTCAGTTTGGAGAATGCAGCAGACCTATGGTGACTTGTTGATTGTGTTGCTCATAGTGAGGCGGGGTTCAGGTGAATTTGGGGTAACAGTGGCTTACCCTGCTCACAGTGTCACAAGGTCTGTAGACTTAGATACTCAGAAGAAGAACCAGAACTTGAGATCCCCTTCTCCTGTCAACATTGCAGTGTTGAACAACCAATCAGGCGTCCACTTTAAACCCTGATGGAGTTAATTGTGAAACTGAATGGTCATATTACTTGACAAGTTACCTAAATAATAAGTTTCATTTTACTAAAATACTACAGCTTTTTATTTTCTGTCAGTATGTGTAGCTAATTTTTTTTTAACAAAACTTGATGTTTGCAAACGTGTATATATTTGTATGTGGTGCATGTGATGATTCCTTCCCCCTCTTTTTGGGAGGGGAGTGAGTGTGTGTGAGAACACGGTTTGAGTTTTGGGGGTGTTGATATCATCAGATACCCTGCCTGTCAGTCAAAGAGCACAAATCTTTATATGTACATAGATGAATTTGATACATTTTATCCATGCCTGCCAAGGGTTTGATAAGCAAACCTATTTTGGCACAACAGGGGTGTGCCAAAGAATAAAATATAACTTGTGGCAGCTCCAAACCTTTCCAGAGAACTCTTTCTACCAGGACTGTTCATTGCTGAGATCAAGACATGTATCCATTCAGTAGGAAATTTCCTGAAATGAGCGTGATGTCCTCAGATGTCATACTCGCGTTCCAAAATGTTGTGACACTTGATTCACAATCTGCACTGCCTAGCATCCATCCCTCTGCCTCCCCTTAAGTCGTCTGCTTTGCTCCCAACTGTGTATGTATGAGTGTGTGAATATATACACACACACGTGCACTTGCCAGGTGTGCATTAAGGCCAGTAGTATACAGTTAATGATGGAAACGGTGGTGCTGCCTTCTTGTGAAAGCAGATGTAGGCCTACTCCTCTGTACAGGTGTGAATACATTCTTTTTCTGTGTAAAAATGTGTATAAATGCATTCACAGGCAGCCAGCGGTCCCTGGGCCTGTTTCTCTGATGTACTGTTTTTTTTCCTAGACATATCTGGGTTTGTTTCCCTCGTCCTTGTCATGAGCACTCTGAACCACACGAAGCCTTTTACTGCACACAGAGTGAAATGGGACGAATGAAGCTAAAGGAAACCGCCTGAATCTTTGCTCTGTACCATTTTTTTGTCCATGGACTGTAACTGAAGATGGGACTGTTTTAGATAAAGCATGGGTACCACATCTGCATTTTACCCCGTAGAACCTCTAGAATCTTGAATGTATGTACCCTGTTGTTTTGCGCCTCTCCAGCTTGATCTGAATGCATTTTGAAGAGCCCCGCTGTCAGTCACAACCCTGAAAATGCAACACTTTCCAAGCACCAATTTTTCAAAGAGAAATGTTGTGTGTTATACTTGTGTGTCTCTCACCAAGGAGTGTCTCTCTTTGTTCTTTATGGAACACAAATACAGTCTTTGTTATTAAAAAGAGGAAAAATAAAGCTGTCTTGCTGTGTTTTATTTAAGCTTGGTTCTGTGTCAGTTTCCCAGATTTTGAGAGTTTGGACAAAAAGATCTGAATATAAGACTTATTGTTAAATAGTATGTTGAATGTTAATTTTATGTGCATTTCTATTGTGCTACCTTGAATGCACTCATTTGAAACCTTAGACGACTTAATATTAATTAGAGAGAAAATTAAAGCTTGACTGAAATAATAAAAGGGTGGAAGAGGCAGAGTGAAAAAACAACTGTTTTAAGTCATTTATTTATTCTTCCAGAATCGCTATCGATTTGGATTGGGTTAAGTTCAAATTAACCATTTGTATTGTAAGTTTTGTTTATGAATGTGTCCCAGTCTGTCTCGTATATTCTCCTTCTGATCTATTGCCCAAGCATCTTCAGCATCTCTGGAAGACCAGCCTGCTGAATTTGATCACAAAACAAACACACGAAAAGAAAGCTGACCTTTTCATGTCGTATGAGTGTCAATTCCTTAGTTTTACACATTAGCGTGTATACTAAAGAGGCTTAAAAGAATTCAGCATCAGAAGTTTATTTACTCCATTGTTTACAGTACTCTGTGTTGCATACCACAGCTGAGGCAGCTGGAGCAGAACGTGTACATTATGTGCTGTAATATAATTATTTTATTGACATATATCCTTTTGTAATGACTGGCAGAAAGATATCACCCCTTCTGATGAGATACCTTTCAAGGATATACTGTTTTTTTAAGGTGGTCTCACTGTTTTGGGATAAAAACAACAACTTGATGTGTTATCAGCATTATCAGAATGTATTTCTAATCAGTTTCCAGTAATTAGCCCACTCTTATGAAGTATTTCGCTTTCCTTGTGATTTTAAATGGGTGCTGTTGGATTGAAACGACATCATTCTCGTGGAGCAGACACAGGGCTTTGGAAACCACTTTTGACACCGTATTGTGAAACGTAACGCACTATTCAACTGGCACTATTGTGACAATCTGTCAGACCGTGGGACAGCGAAGAGGATGTTTGGACTCATTACAGTCTATGGGGTGAACACGTTCTTTGAGATTGTCCAGCGGTGCCTCTCACCAGCAGCTGACATGCGGCTACACTGTTGTTGTTATTGTTACTGACGGAGGCGCTCAGCCGGTGTAACACCAAAATGTGTGACCTATGAGATTCTGTGACTACACCCAAACGACGATGTTTTCCTAACCATAACCAAGTACTTTTGGTGCCTAAACCCAACTGCAACCGCTTCACATCGTCAACAAAGCCTCTGGCGCTTAACTTGCCTTTTGGGTCACAGAATCTGATAGGTCACATATTTTGGTGTCACACCGGTTGTGTTTTGCAGTTGATAGGCCATTTCCTTGATGGACATGCAAACATCCAACCCAATTTGTGACGCCGTCTGACTGTAACGTGAGCTAAGCAGACGACTTTAAAACCAGTTAACTTAGCTACGTTTGAGCTTTAACAGTTTACCGGTGCGTGGCTCTGAAAGGTAAAAGGTTTTGCTACAGCTTCAGCTGTCACTTACATATTAATAGCTTATGTTTGTTCGCATGTTTGTTCGCATGTTTGCTGTAGCTAATGCTAACGTTAGCTGTTTAAAAACAGTTTGAAATGCCATTACTACCGGTTAGCAACCAAGCTAAACCAACCTGGATTTACAGGACGAACGTGTTTATCCAGAGACTAATAGTGACTCTGGTATTAATGTACAGCGAGTAACGTATTGTCTGTGTTCCCTTTGCACTAAGTGTTTGCCACAAGAAAGGTCTACGGCAACATAATGTAAAGCAAATTGTGTCATTAACGTTAATTAGCTACATGCCCGTTAATCCTGTTCATAACGTTGATTTATGCCGCGTTCCAGACTGCTTGGAACTGGGAATTGTCCTGGTTGAAATCTCCGATTTTCAACCTCCGAGCGTTCCAGGTGCATTGGTGGTGCCTGACGCCGAAAGTGAACGAAAAACATGGCATTATTGTTATGTTTTAATGACAAGTGATAATCTACGGAAGCCCTAAGCGGCCAACGGTTCATATCTTTTATTTTACTCCGTTTTCCCGTCATAACTGGATTATCTCGTGATCTCGAGATAACGACTGTTGTGGTCTCATGATAACGAGATCATAATCCTCAAAAGTCAGTAAATGTATTTAACATTGCAAAAATGCAAAACATTTATACATCAATTTACATGCAGAACAGGTTTTACTATATGATGGCATGGGTCATACACTTATACTTTCATGTTGCCTTTATGTTATATGTGTGCTTCCCTTTTTAGTCTATGGTGCTTCCATGGGAGCTGCCATTGTTGTGTGACGTCATTCAGCTGCTACCAAGGGGGTAAGCCAGGGATCGGACAGTGAAGCCATGTAGGCCCAAAAATGACGTCAAAACCCTGTGACATCCCGTCGAACGCGAGGGATGAAACCGTATTGTTTAGTTTGTAAACTTTTAGTAAACATATAGTCTTTATAAAGATGGTCAATGATGAATCTGCTGAGGTTTTGCCAAAATGTTGTGGTGTGTGAGCAATACCAAAAGAGGTGCAAAACAGTTTCTGGGTGGTCTTCACTGAAAGAACAGTTTGTATTGATGTCTCTTTTAAATTTAACCATGTAATGATTAGCAGGGTAATATCTGTGAATTATTCTGAACGACACTTCTTTCATCTTGTTTACTATCAGGTAACCTATCTGTGAGGAATCATCCAAACCTTTTTCCAACTTTCAGTGAATGTAAAACAACTATTTGGCGATCAGTGACGCTGTGTTGGTGTTTGGCAGGTGAGCCTCGTAGGTGGGCGGGTTAAACGGTAACGATCAGAGTCAGACAAACACACTGAGCCATGAAACTTTTTGTTGGTGCAGCGATGCAGCTAACGTTACTACATTTACAGTGTTTCTGCCGTTGCTTTACGTCATTAAACCACGGTTATGCTGCGTGATTATGCTTAGAAGACGCTGGTGCCAACAGGAAGTAGCCCTGTAGTAGTATTTTATTGGTCCAAAACTGGCTTCACTGCTCTCCATTCAAATTAGCGGGGTGGCTTCGTCCAGTAATATACTGTCTATGGCTGCTACTCCTGACATTTTTTTTTCTTCTCCGAGTTCACGATTCAATGGTTCTCTTTCTAGTTGGAGGTTGGAAATTTTCGAGTTCCGAGTGCCTGGAACGCAGCATTAATGTTAGCAGCAGCTAATGTCACACACACGCTCCTTAATCTGCCAACATTTGCTTTTAGTGGCAATCTTAATGAAATGACTTTAGCATTTAAGTTAAATGAGCCAGAAAGCGAAAAAGTGGATTGAAATGGGTCCATTTGGTGCTTAAACTGTATATCCATTTTCTATTTAAGATGTCCCGAGAGCAGCTGGTTGTACAACAGGCCAGGAAGTCTTTCCAGACAGGAAAAAGCAAACCTCTGCAGTACAGGATCCTCCAGCTGAAGAGTCTGCTCCGCTTCATCTCAGAGAGACGGAGGAACATTGCAGATGCTGTCAAAAGGGACCTCGGCAAGGTGGGTCAGTCAAAACTTTACCGGCCTCCAGAAGGTCCTAGAAATCCAGGAAAAGGTTGCAATTTTGTGAGGGTCTGGAAACTGTATGCATACATAGTCTTGGGACTGTACAGGTCAGTTGACAGTAATACACTGTACAGCAGAATGCAACATTCACAGGATTATTTTCAGTCTATCTGGAACATTTAGTTTTAAGATTATTTTGGGGGAAATTATTAACACATCAGGAAGAGAACAGGCCAGAACTCTATTGACAACAGGATTGGAAGACAAGTTGGCAGTTAAGGAAACAGAACACAATCCAAGAAAATAATCAATTGTGCTGGTCTGCAGTTTTTGTATGTGGTTTTAATTTGTTTCTATAGTTGCTCATCTAGTTTGCTTCTGTTTGATCAATACTTATGGAATTTAATAGTGCAGTGTTGCTCTTGGCCTTTTTAAAGATTAATGCACACTGTCAAACAAGCATAGCCCTCCACAGACATGTACAATAGGTCAAGTTCTAGCTCAGTGCAGCATGTGGTCGAGCTGGACAATAGAAAGCATCTCAGGATTTTTCAGCCAAACGTCTTAAAGATGACTTTTTTTTTTTTTTTTTTTCCCCTAATGAGTACAATCATGCACCCAAGTTGATTTGTACAACATTGTTAATTCAAAAACTATTAAGTATTTTTATTTTTTAAGATAAAATAGGATTCAAATCCAAAATGATAGTGTAGAGCTATATGGAACTGAAACATACTAATTACTGTTGTGACTGCTGAAATCATCAAAATAAGTAGTTTAGTTTTTAATCCGAAAAGGAAGTCCTCTTTGAACATGGTTTTATTTTCCTGCTACCTCTCCACATTGTTCACACACATTGTTCTAATGTTTCCAAAACAAAACACATTGACGTTAACTACCACTTCTGTATGGATTTTGTCCCCCCCCCCTCCTGCTTTTAGAGTGAAAATGGGGCTGAGCTGTTTGAGACACTGGGACTGGAGGGAGAGATCAAGCTGGCTATAGGGAAACTGGCAGAGTGGGCGGCTCCTCGTCCGGTAGAGAAGAACCTCCTAACCATATCAGATGAGGTTTATGTGCAGCCAGAGCCTCTGGGAGTGGTGCTCATCATCGGGGCCTGGAACTACCCCTGGGCTGTCACCCTCCAGCCGCTCGTCGGAGCCATTGCTGCTGGTACCAAATATACTCCTACACACCCATATGTATTGTAGATAGGCCCACTGGTGGTTTTAAAGGTGCACAGCCTGTGGTGTTGCTAAATGGGCTACATGTGCCGGCTCTCTTGCTACATCATTACACCCAGGTAAAACTCCAGGTTTGCACTGGCGTTCATCGCACAGTGAGAAAAGCATCACAGAGGAAACATACATAGTCATTTCTCCTGACAGAGGAGAATGCAGTTAAAGAAATAAAAATGTGTATAGTCACAACAGTCATCAGATCAGCACTCCCCCTCTATTTTCAAATATCATGAAGAAGCAGAAGCAAACGAATAAGGACCTGCAGTGTGATCAATTTAATTGCTCACTTTAACATTCCGAGCTCAGTCTACACAGGTACACTGAGGCCTACCCAAACTCTGAGGAATAAGTGCTTTGCAGTCTTTTCAGTCGAGCCTGTGGGTCTCTAAATCTTCTGTTTGATGGCAAAAAGCTAATATTCTTGAAATAAATTTGAGAGGGTTCTGGTGTAATATTACCAGCCAAACTTGACTCAAGCATTTGACCCACAGTCGTTGAACAGAGATACCATGTACTGATTCCATACTGCATGAATCCATGCAGATGGTCCACATGGCTGATTTTTCTTCTTGTCACTGTAGCTGGTGATGTCAACAGGATCTGTGCATTTGTTCCAAATCTAAAAAAATCACTCTCCTAAGAAAGTAAATGCTTTGTGTACCTTGCTACAGATAAAATAAAGATAAAGCAGTGTCCACATAGATACCTAAATATTCACAGGAGATAACCTGTTTGGTCTGTATACTGGACAGTAACTGGTGTCGCGTGTCTGAAAAGGCCTCTATAGACCAGTCACCATCCCTTTGACACAATCTGACTCTCAAAATCCTTAGCCAAATGTTGGAAATCATTCATCCTTAGCTAAGTGGAAAAACGTACACCAAAAACACAGATTTAAAATATCTCAACATCACAGGTAGCTTATATAACCTGTAGCTACTCTAACCTGTAGGTTCAGCGTTATTGGCTTGGGATTTTGCTTTTCATCACCAAAAGTGTTTTTTATGTGTGTTGTTTTTTTGTGCGTTACCATCCTGCCACTGTGTCTCTCTCATCTTTCAGGGAATGCAGCAGTAATTAAGCCATCTGAGGTCAGCCCTCACTCTGCCAAGGTCATGGAGGAACTTCTCCCTCTGTATCTAGACAAAGTGAGCTTCCTGCCTCGTTCGATATGTTACATAACCTCTTTTTTCCTATTATCTGCATTTTAAGTGTGAATGTACGGGGAGTTTTAATGACTGTTTATTCTCTCTAGGATCTGTACCCAGTGGTGACAGGTGGAGTGGCAGAGACCCAGGAGCTGCTGAAGCAGAGATTTGACCACATTTTCTACACAGGAAACAGCACAGTGGGTAAACTGGTGATGAAAGCTGCATCTTACCACCTCACCCCAGTGACCCTGGAGCTGGGAGGGAAGAGCCCCTGCTACATCGACAAGAGCTGTGACATCACTGTCGCATGTCGGTCAGTTTGAACTCTAAAATGAAGCACACAAATGTTGCCATTAATCCACTGAAGCTTCAAATAACTGCCAAACACAAAGCAGTTATTCTCAAAGCCAACACAGTTCCCAGATGAGTTTCAAAACCCCAACAATGTGCTAATACAACATAAAGGTTTGAGGGTTTTGCATAACTTTCTTCTCACAATACAGTCGCATCACGTGGGGAAAGTTTGTCAACTGTGGCCAGACGTGCATCGCTCCAGACTATATCCTGTGTGAACCCTGCATCCAGAGCCGAGTAATAGAAGAGATCGAGAAGAGCATCAAGGTTGGTTTAAAGTGAAGATTTTAAAATGTCAGTTATTCATAAGATTTCAGGAGGTCCAAAGTAAAATGAGAGGCTTAGGTTTCTTTTAAAATTTAATTGATTAGGAATAATATTGATTAGAGAATATAAAACATGACAATTTCCTTGGTGTAACTATTCCATACCTATGTGCTGTAAAATCTAACAGGGAGAACTTCTGGTCTGTTACAGAGGTCATATTATGCTTTTTAGCTTTTTCCCTCTCCTTTGAGTTATATCTTGTGCATGTAATAGATTTCCAAAGTGAAAAAGCCCAAAGGGAGTTCCTTCCACAGAAAACACTGCTCTGAACTGCCTGAAAACGGCGTGTTTGTAGCAGTTACGCTTTGCTGTGACGTCACAGCAACATGCGTGTCATAATGCTCGACTAGCAGCTAGTCTGACAGGCCCTCAAACACCAGTGGATAAACACTCTGAGCTATATATATGTGTGTGTGTGTGTGTGTGTTCTCCTTACTTACTAGGAATAATAGGAAAATCTATTAATTTTATTAGTGCATTGCCATTTCCCATATTTGAACAATAGTAACCATAGCGTGATACACAGGAACTATCGTTCACTACAGCACGAAGGAAAAACAGGCCTTGAGAGGATTCTGAGCTTTAATTGCAAGATTACAAGCAGTCAGAACATCTTCATCTTTCATTTCACACATTGCAGGAGTTTTACACCGATGATCCAAAAAGCTTTGAGGACTACGGACGCATTATTAACCAGCGGCACTTTAAGAGGGTTATGGCTCTCATGGAGGGGAGCAGCGTTGCTGTTGGTGGAGACAGTGATGAATCCCAGTGCTACATAGGTATGCGGTGTGTTTGAGCAACTGATTGCTAAAAAAGCTTTTCACTTAGGGATGACAACAATCAATACACAGGGCAGTGTTAAAGCATATCAATATAAACATTGTGCATTCAAATAAAAAATGCACTATGTTGTATCTTCCCTTCACCACGTTCACCCATCTGATTGATACAAAAATAATGGCCTGCTATATGTAACGGGAGAAGGAAGAGCAGTCACAATCTTGTTTTTCTCTCTTGTTACAACATTACATTCAGAGCTCCATTCTTCTTATTGACTTGGCACCATATCACTAATCATCCTACATTCTACCTATCCATGTCTCTTCTGCCTAAGCAAGCACATCATTCAAACACTATTTTCAGTATAATGTATAAACAGCCCTTTTGGATGTGTTATCTTTTCCATTGAAAGACCTTGGGACATTTCTCTCAGCCACTGACCTACTTGAGGTCTGGTAACATTTTTCCAAGAGATGGAGCTAAAAGCATTTGTACTTTAAGCTGCAGTGGGGAAAAAAAGCATCTAAAGTTGTGTAAACTGAATTGATTGCAGTAGTGGTTGGCTCAAGAGGCCAGCTGATGACTTTACTTTAGATGTTGGTGATGGTAGCCCTTGCTGGCATATACATGGTGTCGATTAGCATTTTGAAACGTCGCTATGCTCAGTGACATAGTGCCGCAGACTACTTAAGGTTTTGAGTCGACTTGACTGTAGAAGTCGTCTTTGAGAAGGATGGCAGGTTTAATCGGCTTGGATCAATTAAGAAATTCCAATGGTTACCCGGTTTGTGGCAAGAAAAATTGTCCATATAATATCTAATACCCCCCTCCTGCAGCATAATCTGCTTCTTTACTCCGTCTCCTCACTGTTTTATACCCAAATGTTTTTGGAGTATTAACAGCAGAACATGTTCATGGACTCGGAGGAAGTGCGTGTTGTGTTACTATAGATTGTTTTGGTAGTTGAAACGGTCAAGTTTTTTTTTTTTTTTTTTTTTAAGTAACCTTTGTTGCCGTAAAAGGAGTTGAATATGTTACCCCTTGTTATTGAATCTCATTATTTAAACTGATGGGTAAGGCACAGGTAAAAATAACCTAATGACATTTTATGTATCTCCTCTTCAAAACCCCTCATCTGTAGGTAATTTGTCAATTACACAATAATTGTACCCAGAGCATTTATATAGTACACACATTTTTATTTCTTGCCAGGATACTTACAACTGGAAAAAACACAACACTACGTGTATATAGTGTCTTTCCAATGTGTAAATAAATCAGTATCAATACATTTGAGAGACACAGTCACAGTGTGTGCAATGAGCGTAACCAGTAACGCGAGGAGTAGGACCCAAATGCAGAGGCAGATTCTGTACAGTTCAATGATTTAATGGCACAAATAATGAATTAACGGCGCACAGGGATGATGAGAAAGGCTAAGGTCAAGACTTTAGAAGCAATCAAAATGAAATATAATAGGGTATAATCCACAGACGGGCAAGGTTCAGGAAAAACAAAGATAAAGTACAAACACCAGGAAACCACAAAAAGGCTGGAGCGCTTGACTAATGGACGGAGACGAACTGGCACTGAAACAAAGGAACACACAGAACTAAATACACCAGTGAGGGGAGTATAACTAGTCACAGGTGAAACTAATCAGAGCAAGGTAAACGATCACACAGGCGGGTTAACACAAAGACAGGAAATTAACAAAGAAACACAGGTTAGGACTCTTTCGACATAAAATAGGAAATAATAAAATAAAACCCCAAATCCTGACAATATTTGCTTGTACTGAATGACCCTCTTCTTCCGGTTTCCTCGCAGCCCCCACTGTGCTGAAGGATGTGACGAGGGATTCCAAAGTGATGAAGGAGGAGATCTTTGGGCCTCTGCTGCCCATCATCGCAGTGAGCGGTGTAGACGAGGCCATCCAGTTTATTAATGAGAGAGAGAAACCTCTGGTTGTGTATGTCTTCTCCCATGACAACAAGGTAAACACATCACCAACAGACATGTTTGTTTCCCATTATTTGAGTTAACATTTAGCTCTTTTTGCATTTGTGATTTTAAAATGCTATGATAAGATTGTACCCACACTGCTCTGTTTTATCGACTATTCCTATCTGATAAATAGCTGATCAAAAGGGTTTTAGCGGAGACGTCCAGTGGAGCTCTGCTGGCTAATGACTGTCTGGTACACTTTACAGTTAGCGCTCTGCCCTTCGGAGGAGTCGGTGAGTGTATAACCGTTAAACTAAACCTGCAGTTATTTAGTCTCCTTTTTATTTTGAGGAATAAAGCTAAAACACATGTAAAACTGACCGGTCCTCCCACCTCTTTCTCAGGTAACAGTGGTATGGGCTGTTACCACGGCCGCTACAGCTTTGACCAGTTCAGCCACCTGCGCAGCTGTCTGATCAAGCAGCTGAAGATGGAGGCAGTCAACAGCATGCGTTATCCACCTCACACCGCCAAAAAGCTGGGCTGGGCTCGATTCCTTCTGCTCAAGCAGGTCAACGTGTGCAAGCTGCAGCGCGTGTCACTGGTGATCATGTTGGCAGGCTTGGCAGCATTTGTGGTGCAGGTAAAGCAACCAAAATATACCATTCCAATCCAAATAGGATTAACAGGGCTTGTTTTGGTATCAGTAATGCTTTGTTTTATATTTCTGTAGTTTCCTAAGAGCTTTAATAGAAAGAACTGTTCAATTTGGTTCTAATTATTGGGAGATTAGAGACAAAGTTCTGAGACATTTGTGTGTTTAGTTAGTTGCATTCAGTTTATAAGCAGTTTTCCAGAGGAACTGCCTTGAAAGAAAAACTTCATTTAAACCCAAGTAAATATTTATTCTTTATTAATTGAAGGGGCCACGTGTAGTTTAACAACACATAATCCATGCTCGGTGCATTTAGCCGACATGATGCATCACGTGCCAGTGTTTCAATAACGCTATCTTTCACCAGAGGCTCAGCAAAGTGTGCTGACTTTGCTAAATGTATTGGATGATAATGACAACTGTTAGTGAGCTGGACTGAATATTATAAATGAGACTGTTGCCACACTTTAGTATAACAGTCAGACTGCAGTAAGTAATGTTACTTTAACTTACTGAATGGGTCTTCCACTGTGTTGTGTCCTGCACCGTCGGGTTGCGTTATTGGATATTATGTGGGTCACGTAAGTTACAGAGACCTGTAACCGCCACCAACATCAGAGACCTGCCAAGAGGCTGTGTACCCGAGTATCTGTAAAACCACAATAAATCTAAATTGAATGTTACAAAGCAAACGTCGGATCCGTTCTAATGTAGCTGGCTGTCCCTGCCTTCCATCACTGTAGGCTAGTATAAACAAATTGCTCCACATTTCCATTTTACAGTTAATCATTTAATTTTACAGTTTATCAACACTTTGACAGAATACCAGTTGTACACAGGATAGTAATGTGGACTTGGTTAGCTTGTGAAGTAATGTGGAGAGCCATACAACTACAGTATTTTGCACCCGATAATGTTAGGGGAACTGTTCACTAATATCTTTTTCATAAAAAAAAAAAAAAGTCATTTTCTATAAAAGCTGGGCACTGTAGTTTTTACCAAACAGAAGTAAATTAGTCATTTGTTGGGGACTATTTCCAGCCATGTATTAAGATGTGTTTCTAATAGGTTTTTGGGGCTCTGTGGCACAGAGGAGTAAGATTTTTAAGGCCTTGGAGATGCAGCAGTTGTTAGTAGACCATGTCATTGTTGTTTTCATGGTATTTATTGACAAAGAAGAAGAACATAGAATATTACCAGACTTATGCTTTTAAGCTGTTCTCATTCAAGAGGGATTAGCCGCAGTGTTCTTCTGTGATGGACCTTGTTTTCCACAGTACTTGATCTATTAAAATCTCAGGGATCTGAGCCGGTAGACCCGACTGCGCATAACACGGCCTGTCTCAGACCGAACGTACAGTATCTGCATATGTGTTCAGCCCCACTCATAACATATTTCTTAGTCCTATGTGCCACGTGGGCCGTGTCTTGCTCTCAGCCATTAGATATCACTGAGAACAAGATGTTGTTTGACAAAACAACACTGAGAAAGTGCTAATTCTTTGTTAATAATTGACACACTTTAATGTCTCATTGTCTCACCCAAGGTTAAAACTGTATCGACACGGCCATATTCACCTTAACAGCAGGAAGCATTTGTTTTACGCAACAGTTATGCTTTATGAAACGGGTGGGGGGGGGGCAGTTTTTGTAGAGGGATGTTTTTTATATGTGGGGTATTTGTGTGATGACTGTTTACAACTATTTGAATAATGACATACAGTTTCCCAAGAGAACCAGATATGAGTACTCTTCCCCTGCACCTACCCACAATCCTACAGGCCTGTACCCTCATACAACAATGGCTTTGTCTCCAGCAGACAATGTGTGGTGTTGTCCAGGAAATCTAACCACATAATGCCCCCTCATCTACCCTCCCTTTAATTACCCAGCATGCTTCACTCTCCTCTGCTAAATGCCCCCTTTTGTTTTGGTCCATCCCACCTTCTTTGTTGACATCCACACTTGTTGTGCTTCTGTGGACAGTTAAAGTATCTGTTATCTCTGTACTTCCAACAGTTTGGATCTGTCTCTTTGCACTGAGTTTGTGTCATGTTTCTTGCAGCGGTTCCTGCGACGAGGCTAAGGAACAAACTGCTGGCCTGAGTTGAACCCTGTGCAGGTGATCCTGGGATAGCCACACGGGCTTCTGACCTATAGTGGATCGCTGCTGTGATTGACTGATCCATAGTTTCTCATTCATGTTACTTTGTTACACCTTAAGATACTGACATACTATTTTATTATTTTACATAAATTGTATAGCTCTATATTTTCATTTAACCTAATAAATGGAGATCCTTGTTTATATTTTGACATTGTGAAACTGTTTAGCAGTGATGCAATTTATTACACTACTAAATGAAAATTAATGCACACAAACTACCTTTTACATGGAAATCCTTAACAGTGAATGTCAAGCTTTCAATGGTGGCAGTTCTTGGTAACATTTGATTGGGATCCATACTCGTGTAATGTAATTAAATATAAAGACGTTTAATATTGTTCATTGTTTCGCTATTGACTTAAAAAAAAATGTTTTTAACATTGTACAAAACTAAAAGCCATTCATTAACAAGATCCCAAGGTTATTGTAATTTAAGACATGTCTGCTATGACTGATAAGCTGTTATTAAGATACATTGACCTTCATGATGGCTGATTAGGACAGCTAAAGGCTGTAAAAGAAGAAGCACAGGTAAGCGAGCTACAGACGCTAATGGAAAATTATACAATAGGTAAACGTGGAACTTTGAATATTGTGCGTGTGTGGCGGTGGGGTGTCTGATGTGATGAAGGTCTCAGTGAGGTGGTCTGAATGAAGCTGCTGGTTACAGTGCGCAAGCTTCGCGGTAAACTGATCCTAGAGCAGCCTGACTGGTGGGCAGCGCACAATGAGGCTCAGTCAGTCAGTCAGCGTGCCCGCAGCGTGTCCGACATCTGAACCACTTTCAGATCTGTGACGGATTATTGAGCTAATATTTTAGAGATAATCCACTGGATGCGTGTTTGAGCTGAGCCTGGGTAAGTCTACTTTTTTTTTTTTCTCTTCCACTGTTCCCGAATCAACGAGATAATGTCATCAGAAGGTATTGATATTCGACATTACCGCGTTTACAGCACTTATGTAGCCTACAGGCTTTAAATAAACAAAAAGTTAGACCTGCTGAAAATAAACGACACAGCTACCTTGTCATGAATACCTAGACATTTGTATTAACTAAAGAGAAATATCAGACCCAGTGAAACCTCTAAAGGTAACTGTAAATGCATAGCCTACCTGTCAACACGCACATCTGGAGCTTTCAATAATATAACATGCAGATTCTAATATCATCATTCAGCAAAAACATACTTTTCCTGTCAAGAAGTCTAGATGTAATTATTTCAGCAATGAAAAAACAAGGGGAGACTCCTACTTTGGATGAAGCAAATTCAGCCACAAGATGAGGTTTACTCCATCCAGTATATATGGGGTTCTGTCAGACTTGCAACAAGCTCCATTGTAAATTAAAGGTCAACCTTCATACCCTCTTTATGACAGTTTTTTATTTATTTTTTAGAAATAACACTATAAATAACATTAGTTGTGCACATGGATTTGAACATTTTAATAACTATCATGAAAGACTAAACTCCAGCATTTTTTTCTACAGGCATATTTGCATCCAATCAGAAAAAAAGGGCAGCAGAAGTCTTTGTATTTGCTCTTGCAAGGTAAATGAATTTAGTAGGACTAAGAAGAAATAGAAAATCCAAATCTGGGTTAAAGAGGGAACAACATTTGTTTTGTACCTGTTCTGCTATTTGCAGCCTAGTTTCCTTAAAGTTTCCTTTACTGAGCAGACATTCAGTTTTACTAGATTCAGTTATCTCCTCCCTCTCTCACTTGTTCACAGGGATGGGTTAAATGAGAGAATGAATTTCGCTACATGTATGTGTATGTGACAAATAAAGTACCTTTACCCTATTTGTTTTGGATATTTGCACATCACAACTGTTGAGCAGTTGTTTTGTAGCTTGTGTTTACATGCCTAAATGTCTAACAGGCTGGTGCATTGTGTAACTGAACACATGCCGCCACTTTGAAAAAACAAAACCTTTTTAAAAGAGCATGACTGGACTCTGGCTTGTCACTGCTACTGATGCTGTAAATTTCTAACAGACAAGCCTGCTGTCTTATGCGTGTCTACAGTTGTGGTTTGCTGTCCTCGAGCTGTCTGAATGGAGAGGCAGGCAGTGCTGCGGGCCAAGGAGGCCTTCCTGAGCGGCAGGACTCGGCCTGTGGAGTTCAGACTGCAGCAGCTTCACGCCCTGCAGAGGATGATCACTGAGAAAGAGACAGAGATCTCCACTGCCCTCAAACAGGACATCAACAGGGTGAGTCGCGACACAGCACGCCGCTGCATGTAACATGTAATGTATGTGTGTGAAATATGTTGAGTGTGCTGAGTTTCCTACAGAGCCAATACGACACACCGCTCTTGGAGCTGATTGGCATTGAGAATGAGATCAAGCTGGCTATAGAGAAACTGGCAGAGTGGGTGGCTCCACGTCCAGTGGAGAAGAACCTCCTCACTATATCAGATGAGGTTTATATCCAGCCGGAGCCCCTGGGAGTGGTGCTCATCATCGGGGCCTGGAACTACCCCTGGGCCCTTACCCTCCTGCCACTGGTTGGAGCAATCGCTGCTGGTAGGTATCGCTCCTTATAGCTTACTTAAAGTTAGTCAAGTAGACCTCCTTTGCCACTTTTTTTGGTGACAATGCCAGTCTGAAATGAGCTTCTAACCCATAGAAATGAATTCTGAAGTCTCTGCACATCCACATGTGTTTTCAATCATTGCTCAGGCTGAAGTTGGGTGGAGCTACTGTATACTGGGGTTTATGTGAGTTCATACTCTAAGAAAAAGAAAAAAAACGTTGTCACATGCAAACCCGTGCAACAGAACCAAGGGACTGTGCACAAAATATGACGGTGGATGGGAGGTCAGAGAATGGGGAGGGGTAAGTATGTTTTCCTTTTCGCTGATCAGACAGGCAGAGCAGAGAAGGGTCCTTTAATTTTTTTTTAAATGTCAGCATTTGGGAGAGATCAAAACAACAAGGGATCAGTTTGCCTCATTTCTTCTGCATCATTACAAAAATGTAATATGTCATATAAATTTCGACCTATATTACAATTGTGTTTTTCATAGATTTGAAAATGTCTAATTCCACTTCTATTTGTGCATTGGTGACATTTTAAATAAATTAATTAGATAGTCCACCAAAAATAGTAGCTCTAAGTTATAATAGTGTAAAGAGTTGTACCATCCCAACACTATATTTGATATAAAATAGATATATATATTAGATATATAAGATATAAAAAATATTTCATATTAGGGGGCAGTTTTTTTTAAGTCATGGTTAGGATCCGAAAAATGCTGGCGAGGATATATTTTACTCTATGTAACATCTTTGATTAAGTATAGGAACAAGCAGGCAGAGAATACTGTATATACATGATGCATTAATGAATAATTCTACAATAGAAATTGATCAAATGACTCTGTAATATGAAAGGTATCATGCATAGTGACCAACCCACAGAGCCTTATCACAAACTCTTCAGCTCCCTTTAGCTCAGTGGAATGTTGTAGCATCTTCTCAGCTCATTGTTTTTATTTTACCGCCTGCAGCTTTACTGTGTTGGGTTAAAATACTCATATAAACCCACTTGTACACTACCAGCAGCAAACAACAGACTGACACAGGTAGAGACTAGCTAGTGAACATAGTGGAGCATTTAGCAGCTAAAGGATTTAGTGGAGACCAGAAATCTGCTAAAAGGAGAGTGAATATCACATTACATTCATCAGGGGGACAGCATGACTCCAAATGAATCAGAATGTTGCTCCATGTGTGTTGGATGTGTAAATAAGCAACTGTTTGTTTGCTGGCAAACTTTATAAATTGATAGTCAAATCATATCAATGTTTACTGCTGCTTATATGCAGTTACGCAGGTTAAAACGTTTCCACAGGTCTCTGGCTTATGCATACCTGTTCCAAATACTAAAGTATTCCAAATATTCCGCAATCAAACAAGAGAAATAGCAAATTCTTATAAAAGCATTAACTGTGAACATATTATTGGGTTAATGGGAAATATAGTTTGACTTTGTCATCAGAATGGAATACGTTGTGGTTAATTTGTCTTGTCTTGTTACAGTCTAGCCTATATCCATCAGCCAGTTAGCTAGTTAACTCTAACACTGAGGGTCAGATTAACTTTTAATACAACAACTCTTTAAAACCTTTGCTATTTTAGTTAAGGTGAAATGTGTGAGTAACTGTAAGGTGTAAACAAAGAAAATTGATTCTTCAACTGAAAAGTGTTTTTTTACCTAATCACTTTTGGCTCATATTGTTCATTAAGGGGTTTAAATCCGGACCAAAGGCATTATATTTAGCAATTTAAAGGATTTTTGAATGGTATGTGTATAGATTAAGAGATGATTAGAGTTTTTGCCATTTTCACCCATTTTTGGATAAATAATGAATATGCCCTTATTTAAGGGATAAGTATTATGTCCTGATAATAAAGAGATCAGTTGCTTTAAAGTGGCTTTGGAAGAGAAATATTTTGGTGTGACAGCATCATGAGCCCTGCATTCTCAGCCTCCTACTTGTCTGCTCTCCGTCACTCAGTGATCTCATTCCATTCACAGAAACCAGTGTTCTCTCTCTACAGGCAACGCAGCTGTGGTGAAGCCGTCCGAGCTCAGCGAGTGCTCGGCCCTCCTCCTCCGGGCGCTGCTGCCTCGCTATCTGGACAAGGTCTGAACACCAGCTGCTATTGTTGATGAAATAATGTTCCAAGCTGCTGTAACGTCAAAGCCTTGTACCAACACAGCACAGCACATTACAGATATATTTGACTACATGGTCACTGTGTTAGGGGCTCATTCCTCCCACATCATCTTGAATGTGTCCGGAACATGCAACTCATTTTCATTACTGTGTAGTTAATGTATCTGCATAGATCAGAAAATATGATACAACGAAATAACTTTGCTGTGTATTTCCAGGATCTGTACCCAGTAGTGATCGGTGGTGTGTCAGAGACCCAGGAGCTGCTGAGGCTCAGGTTTGATCACGTCTTCTTCACAGGGAGCAGCACAGTGGGTAAACTAGTGATGGAGGCTGCAGCTCGCCACCTCACCCCAGTGACCCTGGAGCTGGGAGGCAAGAGCCCCTGCTACATTGACAAGAGCTGTGACATCAGAATTGCCTGCCGGTAACACACCACTCATCAGAGTATCCCAAAGCACC